CTATTTGAGTGGCCAATCTATACCGTGCAACGAGTGCATGGTGAGCACCATGCAATCATTGGATATTATTTTCTCTTTTTTTAAAAATGGTAATAACTTTTTTATTTTTGATCCGATTTTTATAAAATTTATATCAACATTTTTTTATTTTTCATGATATTTCAAATGAGACCAATATTGCCTATGTAATTTTAACATATTAATATTTGCGTGTAAAATATGTAACTTTACGTGTTAAAATATGTAACTCACGTTCACTCAGGCCAAATGCAACTCGTGTGTATAAATATGTATCTCTACGTGTAACAATATGTAACTTTACGTAAAAAAATATGTAACTCGCGTTCAGACAGGTCAAATGCAACTTGTGTGTATAAATATGTAACTCGCGTGTATAAATATGTAACTTTACGTGTAAAAATATGTAACTTTACGTGTAAATATATGTAAGTCGCGTTCAGGCATGTCAAATGCAACTCGTGTGTATATATATGTAACTCGCTTATAAAAAGATGTAACTTGCTTATAAAAAGATGTAAATCGCTTATAAAAAGATGTAACTTGCTTATAAAAAGATGTAACTCGCTCATAAAAAGATGTAACTTAATGTATTATCAAATGTAACTGAGGCCACTGATCCACTCCCAAACAGATTCGATCTTCTATTTCACAAACCTATCATCTCCCAAACAGATTCGATTTTCCTTATAATCCAATACTCATTAATATAATAGTTCGATAATTTCTTAAAATTACATAAGCAATATTGGTCTCATTTGAAAGATCATGAAAAATAAAAAATGTTGATATAAATTTAATAAAAATCGGATCAAAAATAAAAAAATTATTATCATTTTTTAACAACAAAAGCAAAAAAAACAAAAAAAAAAACATCATGCTGCGTCGTTTTGCAATCGGGCGCACCATCCTCATGGTGCGCCGGTTGCACGGTATAATTTGTCATTCTATTTACAGCCACGTAAATGAGTATTCCTCCCTCCATCCCATAAAATTCTTTTCACTTTCCTTTTTGGGTCGTCCCAAAAAGTTCTTCTCACTTAACATTTTTGGACAATTTGTGTGGTTCACATTCATTTCACCTTTTTCTTACACAACCACAATCATACATTTCCACTTTCTTAATCTCCGTGTCAAGTCAAAGTGAGAAGAATGTTATGGGTCGAACATATTAATGGTAATTACCCCTTTAGTCCACTTTTTCTAGTTCCATTTCATTTATGTCACCCCATGATTTCTTTTTCATTTAAAGACTTTTGATTTTTCAATTTTACTTTTTTAATTTCAAAAATAACCTAATTTAATTCTAAATCAAGTCTAGAGATCGATTGGATGTCGGCAGTCTGGCACCTCAATCTTCTTCATACATCGTCATGACATATCAAACTACAGCAGAGAGACCGTGCGACTATTCTATTCCCACCCAACTCTGACTACGCCTCTATCCTCCGCGGCTCGGCCCTCCTTGTTCATCCATCTTCGCGACCTCACAGCGAATCGATTTGAAGCGTTATTTACAAAAGTCAGAGACGTTCGCCGTTGTCCCCCCAGCGGCGTCTCGACTCTTCGAACTGTGGGCTCCGCCCTCCGCCCTTGCCTGTTCAGCTGCTCCTCCAATCGTTGCCCGACTCCCTCACTGCTTTTCGATTTGCATGTATGTGTGAATTTTGAGAATTTTACCTTCACTGTAATTGTTGTTATAATTCATATAGTTAAGATTTATTTCTGGTTTTCGATTCAGTTTTGTTTTACTTTTTGCTTTATTTTTGTTATAATTGAATTTCAGTTTTAAGATCCCCAAACCACATGACACACATGAATTTCAGATTGGAGTATTTTTGTTTTTCGAATTATTGCATATTAATGGAATCTCTCACGTTTCAGTTAATCAAAGCTCGGAAATCATGTGTCCTTGTATGATTGCTCAGAGTGCATTGATAAAAAGGTATTAGATCTTCTCAACTGCATTTGTTCTTGCTTATTCTATCTTATTCCTATCCTCTCTTTAATATGAAAAAATAACTTTGCAGGCGCTAAGTATTACATGATCTGTTGCTCTTCCAAATGAAAAGGTATACACTAAATTGCTTGATTTTGCTGATATTTGTATTGTAATGATCTGAGTTGCTTCATTTTGTTGACTTAATTGTAACATAGTGCAACAAAAAGAAACACTAGGAAACAATAGCAAACAAAGAATTGTAACAAACTGAAATCTAATTTAAAAAGTCACCTCCATTACGAGATGTAATTTACAAAAGTAGCTAAGTATTACATGGTCTGCTGCACTTCCAAATGGCCATACTTTGTAAGGTTAAACATTATGCTGAAATCTAGAAATTAGAAACTAGATTGTAAATCTCCAAGAATTGAAACGTTTCTACCTTTACTTTTAGATGTGGGAAGGGGTTCTGGTGCTTATAGATGTATTCTGGCTCATAATTTACCCTTTTCTCACTAATAAAGACTATCGGTTGCATTTTGCAAGTCAACCCTTAACTTTTTAACCTTCTAAGTTCTAAGTCTAACTTTTTTCCTTGGTCTTTTGTATATGCATTCTATAAATGTTGTTTGCCTTCTGGTTGAATGTGTGTAATGTGTATAATGAAAAATTGAATATAATAAATATCAACGAGAAACAAAAATCTACAATAAAAAACAAAATATGAAAATTCATCATTCAAAAGAAACAAAAGGCAACACAAAGCAATCATATAAAAAAATGCAACAAAGCACAACATAACAAATGATTATAACAAAATACTAGTGAGAAACAAAAATCAACAACAAGAAACAAAATATGAAAATTCATCAATCAAAAGAAACAAAAGGAAACACAAAGCAATCATATAAAAATGCAATAAAACGCAACATAACAACAAGAAAAGTAATAATATCATTATAAAAATAAATAAATTTAATATTTCGAATTTAAAATAATTTACTTTTTTTAAAACTGTATCTAGTTTAAGTAAAATTTTATTAAAAAATTATATGTTGTATTTCGTGACATTTTATCTACTCAACTCTTTTAACATTTTTTGGATTATGTATTTCCTAATTTTTATTCATATTTACTATTGATAAAACTTCTAATTTTTAACACTGCATAATACTTTTGTTTTCAATTTTTAGATTATAGTACTTTATTTATGTTTAGAAAGATTTGTAATAACATTACAAGCTTACATTACAAAATCAATAAACTTGAACAGATTGGCAAGGAGATTGTGGATGTCCATTTGAAGAGGATAAGAAGGCTTGGTGATAACTTCACTTGTAGGGGTAGTACATGATCCAGCTTCATTTTTGTCATCCTGGAAAGGCTTTTGTTCACATCTACAAGTTATGTGCTATAAAAACAAACTTGATGCTGAAATGGATCATTGCAAGATCACAGAGAGAATCATGATGATGTATAGTTATTTGTATTATTCCTACTATGAAAATAATCATTGTCAATTTATTCTTTAAATGTGTGGAGTTATTAGTAACTTACTACCTTTGTGAAAAGGGATATGAAGAGTGTGGGATGGAGAGTTAATAATATTGTCTACTGAGAAGTGTCCACAAATGTTTCTTTTTGTTTTGAATCGTTGAATTATATTGTTTCTTGTTGCATCATGTTTATTGTTGTTGTTTTTTGTTAAATTCTAATTTTTTGTTTATTTAGATGTATATTTATCTTTGGTACTTCCCTAGAATCAAGATATCTATATAGATTTTCATACAAAGATCTAAAATGCTAATTTTGGATTTATGAGTATAAAAAACAACCGTGAAACATTAAGAAACATAAAAAAACAAAAACAAAAATAGATTTATTAACAAAAATAAACACAAAGAAACAATATGAAGCAAGTACTACCAATATAATGGTAATAAAAAAATCTATGCTTTAAGAAATATTGCATTACAAACTTTCTATATATTTTTTTCTATTTTTTTAAAATTCATAATTTAAAATTTCCATATTTTTATTATTTGAGCTTGTTTTTATTTTACACTGTTTTAGGTTACATTAATTTTCTAATAATTTATAACTCTATGTTATTATATAAAATTTTCTAATTTTCTAATTTTCTAAATTTTATTATATAAAATTTATTATATATTTATTTAATTTTTTATTTTTAATATGCATATTTCCACGTTTTTTATAATAATTACTTTTTCACAAACTTTTCTAATTACTTTTAATACAATTTAACATTTCAAACCATTTTATCTTATTTTAAATATTCTTGTTTAATATTATTAATTATTCTTGTTTACTATTTAACAATAACATTTATTTATTTGAATTAATTTCACTTTTGATCCTATAATTATGTCAATTTCATATTTAGTCACGTATTTTATTTTTCCACTTTTGATACGTGACTAGTATTTATTTAGTATTTATAGTCCTTTTGTCTAATTTTTTGACACATCTGGTGATTTTTACCACCAAAAATATCGACAGAATGACTACATATGTGCGAAATACGAAGTACAACAGTGATACCTCAAAAGTGGACAAGGTAAAAAACGTAGATTAATTGTGGAATTGTGAGATATTCATAAGAACAAAAGTGAAATAAACTCTTATTTGATTTGTTGCTAAGCTTATTTTTTCATTTTGGTTGTTTTTATAATACCTACAATTTTTCAATTATTTTCATATTTTTTATCATTTTTTCGTTTTTAAATTTGTAATCCAAATTTTGGACGACTCGGAAAACTTTGGTTAATTTTTTGAAAGTTTTCTTAGTTTTTTTAATCTTTTTACCGTTTCTTTTGTTTGAGTTGCTTAGATAGGATTTTGTTGAATGTGTACAGACAATAAGTTATCAATTAGCACAAGGTTTTTAAAATTAGTGATCGCTTTTAGGGATTGAGCACTATGAAGACTATTATTGAAAAGAAAACGGTTCTTATTCTATTTTTGAAAAGAATTTAAAAAGGTGACATACGTGATATAACTTCTCCTGGTTAATCTATTTGTGAAAAATCTCCAACATATTACTCCTTATATTTTTTTGGATTCCAATTTTAGCCTTCCGCAACGCATTCATACACAACCTCCGTTTCACTTATTCTTCAAAGGAATCAAAGCTACCTGAAGCTCCTTATGCGCGGATCTGTAAAAGGTGAATGAAGCTATGAGCCTATGACTGTCCCTCCTTTTGCTTCTTCTTCGACTACCTGGCTCCATCCCGATAGGTTTGGTCATATTTCGAACTAGATCGAACATAGGACGGTCGAAGGGATGAACAAAAACTCTTTTTCCCAAAGTTTTTCCGGTTATTTCCCAGTAAGATAAATCAGATTATTGTTTCTAACACAAAATTAGGTCAACCTATTTATATACTCTTAAGTTCTTTTGTTGAGCTTTTCGATTGATTACTGTTGTTAGCAATTGTTGTTGAAATTGAACCCCCTATTCTTTTCATTCATCTTTGAAATTTGAAGTAATATTTATGATTTTACTCTTAGTTTCATGTTTATTGAATGGAGTTTCTGTAATCGATGTAAGGCTGAAATGAATAAATTGTGTTTAGCTATCTCCGTAACTTCCAAGGATGTTACTACGTAGGGAGTATTTTTCTAGGTCCTCTAGGATAACGGTAATTTGGATAATTGAATTAATTTATTTTCTTACTACTTCCTTCTTGTCATGATTGTCTCGTTTTACCTTATTGGTTCGTCCCACTAAATCATTCTTCCAAATAGGTTTGATACACAATTTAAGATAGTGGGTATTGTGTGGTAGAGAGTTGTGCGGAGGAGAGAAAAATGTGTAAGAAATGTTGTGAATTACAAATTCTTTACTAAAAAGGGAAAGTGGAAGTTTTAATTGGAACGGACGAAAAAGAAAGTTGGAAGTTTTAATAGGAACGGAGGGAGTAATATTTAAAGTATGTTTGGCTAACCTAGCTGAAAAGACACTTTTGTGAGAATTTTAATAACTGTTAGCGTTTAGTGACTGAAAAGATCTTAAAGAGAAAATGTGGTAGCTGTTTGGTAAAAAGCTAACTGTTTGATTTAGTTCGGTTTGGTATACAAGCTGTTATGACTAATTAATACTAAAAGTCACGGGCGTTTTTCAGATGCTACTCCTTGTAGCATCTCAAAAAAGATCTTTTAATTTTTGAAAAGCTCTTAAAAATTGTCATGCCAAACATATAACTAGCTTTTCGAGATTTTTTGAACAGTACAAAAGCTAGAAGGTAGAGAGACTTGTGTCTGCCAAACATAGGGTATGTTTGACACAAATAGCTGAAAAGATACGTTTATGAACTTTTTAATAACCGTTAGCTTTTAGTGACAAAAAAGATCTTATAAAGAAAATGTCGTAGCTGTTTGATAAAAAGTCGACTGTTTGATTTAGCTATGTTTGATATACAAGCTGTTAGGACTAATTAATGTTAGAAGCTACGGACTTATCTGAAATGTTACTCACTGTAGCATCTCAAAAAAGATCTTTTATTTTTATAAAAACTCTTAAAAATTGGCATGTCAAACATACAATTATAAGCTTTTAAAAGCTTTTTAAATAATATAAAAGCTAGAAGACAAGAAGTTATGTCCGACAAACATAGTCTTAATTTAGCTGTAATTTGGATGCGGTGTGTAGAATTACCCTTACTACAAAGGAAAAGATCAAAACGCTACAATTGAAGACGGCCCCTTAGCCCTGTGCAGACGGCCCATCTACCCAAGTGAAGCACTCAGACGCACAGCATCGACTAAGCGAGCGACGGAGTGAGTCTGTAGCGAAGTAGCGAACAACGACGGTGACCGCGGACGACCGCTCCTTGTCCCCTTCGGCCCTTATTCAGTTTTTCTGATTTCCGGGTTAATCTACGGTGCGACGGTGCAGCCGGTGCTCCCATCTCCAGACTCCAGTAAGCCTCGTATTCTCTTCATGCCTTAACCTAATTATTTTTCTGATAATTTCATTTAAAATTGTTGATTTATTGAATTTTATTTCTTGAATTCAAATAAAATGTTAATTGTTGAATTCTTAAATACTTTTATTTGTTGAGTTCAAATAAACTGTTGAATTTTATTGGTAATTATATTCTGATAATCTCATTAAACATGTTAATTATATTGTAAATTTTTAATTTTGGATTTGTTGATTTAGTTAACGTTGTTAATTTGTTATAATGTAATTTTCACACTTATACTCAGACATTATTTCAATTGTAGTATGTCTAGGTTGTTTGAAAAACAATTGCTATGTTACGATATTATACACCTAAACCTAAATGGCCGAGCATTTATGATTCTTCATTGAATAATTTAATTTCTTTGACAGATTAATGTTATTCCTAACAATGAAAATAATGTTAAAAAGGCTCGAATATATATGAATTATGTGCTAATATGCCCCCAAGTCACGAGTCATGGTTCCGCCACTGCCTACAGGTTGACATTGTTTTCTGGAAAAAATCTCCTCACGGGTTATAGAATCAGTGCTCCATATAGGCATATACTTCGAGTAGCTCCATCTCAACGATTGCTTCATCACTGGTATGTTTTCTATTCTTACATGATTCAACTTCTCCGGTAAATTTTTGAAAGCCTTGTTTTTTGTTTTTTAGCCTCGATTTTTGTTTTTTAGCCTCGATTTTTGTTAAGATTAGGTCTTAACTCCTAATGTAACACTACATTTTTGGAGCATAATATTTGTATTTATCCCCAATTTTGCTTGTTAAGGAATTATTCTTTAAATAACATCCCCTTGTTACGGGAATAAGAGATGTTATGAGATGGGAGGATGAATGTTGATGGTCACAAGTTTAGTGTGAAATGATGGATAATAAAATTGTATAGTTTTGAGCACAAACTCTTCACTTTCGTCGTGCAGAGCTTTGAGAAGAAGATGTAGTTCTGAAATTGTATGTATATAGTTCTGAACTGTGCGTTTAGAGTTTTTTTAGTGGTATATAGTTTTACACTTTTACTGAATCTTTTGGGATTAAGGCTTGGGTGTTGTTTGTTGTTCCTGTATATAGCTTTACTGAATTGTGTATATAGTTTTACTGAATTGTGTTTTACTGAGTTGTGTATATAGTTTTTACTGAATTTTGTATATAGTTTTTACTGAATTGTGCATATAGTTTTTACTGAATTGTGTATATAAGTTAACTGGAGATATATTTTACTGAATTGCGTTTATGGTTTTTACTGGTTTCATTTTTTCATGCTTTTTGAGTGTATTTTTTGAAATTTTACTGGTCTTCTTTTTAATTTTACTGGTTTCTACAGGTGGAATTGTATTTCCTAATTTTTTTAAATTATAACAATCTCAATACTGACATTGAAATAAGATATTTGTTCCTTTTTACTAATATGAGTATATCACAAATGAGTAATAATTTTTAAACCTAAATTTGTTTCTTTATTTTTAATAAGATATAGTTTGAATAAATGTTTAAATGCGTATAATTTTTTAACCTAAATGTATATCACAAATGAGTATAAATGTTTTATGCTCCACAATTCAACTAATGTAGTCAATTCATTCATTTACGCTCCAGTTTTAGCATATCCACCAAATAATCCAAATATTATTGCTACTAATGTTAACAAGTCCAACCAACTCAATTCAACCCAAATGATCTTTATTATAGGCCTGTTTAAAAAAACTGAAAGAAGTGCTTTTCTACTTTTGGTTTAAAAAAAGTTGAAAATAGTGTTTTCAAATGACAATTTCTCATCATGATCATCATCATTACCTCAGTGCTGCAAAGACTCCCACCTAGGGTGGGGTAAGGGGGTCGGATGTACGCAGCCTTACCCCTGTACTAAAGCTAGCACAAAGAGATTGTTTCTAGATGACCCATGGGGAAAATTGCGTCGAAAATTGCATGGACTTGCTGCTGCTTCATAACAAAGAAGCGCAGACAGTTTAGTGAACTATTTTTCTTTATTCCATCATATTTGCAAGACAAAAAATAGTGAATCTTTGGCTCCATTGCAAATAGTGTCAAATGACAATTTCTACTTAAATTAAAAGCTAAAAGCTGAAAGCATGTAAATGATAAGTTCAAATTTTGCTTTAAACTGTTTTTCACTTTTTTTATCATACAAAAAGTTTTTTCATCAAACATTACAATTTTTTACTTTTCTCTCCAACATTACTAACTTTTACTATTAAACATGTTCTCTAAAATCACTCTAAAAAATCACTTTTTGAAAGTAGAAGCCATGGCAAACCCTCCCTACACTCCCTTAGATCATACATTCATACTCCCTCCGTCCGTTATAACTTGAGGAGTTAATGAACCAAGAAACCTACAGCCCCCTTAATTTTGATGAGCCTATCTGACAATACCAAATTATTTCAACATTTTCTACTGATTGTATAGTGCGTGTTGAGTTTTAGTATTATTGCTAACCTTGTGAGTCATTTCATTCCATACACAAAGCAATCGTTTCATCAAAATTAAGGTATATGGAAGTTATGTTTTAAGAAACACTATCGGAAGTAATGTGTAATATATTTGTTTACTATTTTCATTAACAATTTTGAGTTATAAAAGGATCAATTTTGATTTCAGAATTTATTTTACCCATATTTGCATTTCAGTTCTTGTTGCATAAGGTTCAAAAGACTGCTAAGCTTGTGCTACGTGCCAGCATACTCTGTCTATTTATATTTATATATGATCAAAATTATATTTAATTGTAAGTTGTAACTTTAATTTTACCATAGTAAAGTTCTTATCTTCATCTTATATTCATCTCTATCTTATCTTTTTTATTTTACCTATTCTTTTATCTTTCTTATCTTTATATCTTTCTTATCATTTTGGCTCCGATTTCATGCTTCAATTCATGTTAGCCAACTTCAAATTCTTCTGGGACTAAGGCTTGGATGTTGTTGCTGTGTAGTAAAGGTCTAGCGAGATTCTTCCTTCTACACTTCAAATTAGATTTCATTGGTTTGACACTTTGATGCTAACTTCTTTAGATCAACACTGATTTTAAATCAACCATTTGTAGTTAGTCTATGGCTCTATGCTTCTATTTTAAAGAATTGCTTCGCCATGGTGATTTCTGAATTGTAAGAACCTGTAATGCTCCCTTCTATTTCACTAGTCATGGTTTTTTTCCCATTAATTTAATTAAGCTGGTCCTAATTTTAACATGAAGCCTTTAAGCACAAATATGCATAGTAGTATTAGTAATCTTTATATTAGTAACTACTATTATAAGAAGAAACACATTTCAATTTTGAGCAGAAATGGCAGCTGTCTACAGCTTCTATATCATCAACAAATCAGGAGGCCTTATTTTTTACAAGGTTAATACATTTACAACTATTTCCTATATTTTCTAGCCTGGATATATAATTTAGAATAAATAATTCTTGGGAAACCAAATTATTGATGTCAAAACTGCAGGATTATGGTTCAGCTGGAAGGATGGATACCAATGATAGTTTGAGGCTGGCAAGTTTGTGGCATTCAATGCATGCTATCTCTCAGCAACTCTCTCCTATTAATGGTTGCTCTGGCATTGAACTCCTTCAAGCCGACACCTTTGATCTTCACTGCTTCCAATCTCTCACTGGTATTTCCTCTTTCATTCCTTCCTTTTCTTTTAGTAACAAATTTAGCATTTTACTTTCACATTTTATCTTTTTCTGTGTTGCATTTATACCCTTCATTATGAAATGGAATCTTTAAAGAGAACGATGTACAATGTTATATTTACGCTTCATTAGAGAGAGGTCCAACAGCTTTCACATTTTTGGATTTAGCCTTTCAAAGTTAAATTTTATAAAACCATTTCCCATTGGGTCATGAGTACAAAAAACCATCACCGTCTAATGATATTACTCATGTGAATTTTCACCTCATTTTCCGGTTTAGAAGGTTTTGTCCTGGACGACATTTTTGCATGAATTACCCAATTAGTAGTGTTAATTAATTAGCCTTTTAATTTCAAGTCATGATCCCCAGTCCCAAGAACGTTCTGATTAAGGTGATGTTGAGATGACCAAACATCATAAATTTGGTCAAGATTACTAGGGAGGTTAATTGACACCAATGGAATAAGCTACTCTAGGAGTGTGAGGCATTTGACTTGAGCCAAGAAAGTGGTTTAGAAGTATTGCATACGGCTGAACTGCTGAAGGAATATGGCCAAAGGCTATGATTGTGGTGACTCTTTATCCTAATATGCCGAGTACGTGAGCCCAAAAAGAGATGAATTTAGGAAAGAAAAATAAATACTTTCCTAGTCAAGTTAAGCATAAATAAACCTTCTACTTTGCTGAAAGTAACTCGTCTACAAAATACTTTTGAATTTCATGATATCTCAAAAGAGATGCATTTGATAAAAGAAATGTTACCAATAATATGGAGATATATTAGGAAAATTATGCGGAATCATGTGAATGCACCAAAACCAATGTCTTAAAAAGACACTTGGCGCTTGGCAGGTTACATACTTTCAAACCCATTGCCTAGTGTCTACTCATGTCTTGGTTGGGTCAGACGCCAATAAAAGAATGGCCAGCTAGTTTAGGTCTAGTGACTCGACAGAGATTAGGTGAGTCTTAGCAGATTTATAGAAGACCAAGTGCTTGCCATTTATAAGGACTTCATTTGGACTTGAATGTTTTGGTGGTCTAAATTGATCTCGTTTGTTTTGTTTAAGTTTGATCTAGTTCGATATGGTTTGATCTATTTATGTTTGATATTATGTGTATTTCATTATTACTCAATGTAAATCTGGTGAGATTAAAATAAATTGAAGTAAACGGTTGTTCTTCCTTTTTTAGGGACAAAATTTTTTGTTGTATGTGAGCCTGGAACGCTGCATATGGAACCCCTCTTGAAATGTATATACGAATTGTACACAGATTATGTGTTGAAGAACCCTTTCTATGAAATGGAGATGCCAATTCGGTGTGAGCTCTTCGATATGAACTTGGCACTTGCCGTGCAGAAGGACCGTGTCGCATTATTAGGAAGATAGCTGGACAACTCTTCCCCAAAAGAACACAACTATCGCGTTTCAAAAATTAGGGTACATCGTGCACGCCTGCATGTTTTTTTAAGATACTAATAATTTCTAGTCTTCTTACCTGTCCTGTATTCCCAATTTCATTTGCTACTTGGCAATTGGCATTGCAAGTTAATTGTATGATTTGGGCGTGTTTACAACGAGTTTAGCTGTCCACCATGCAATGTGGGGGTCCGTGAGAAGGGCTTATGGTGAATATAAACGAAGTAATATTATTTTATCTATTTTTACTCTCAATTCTTGTAGCTTTTTACCTTCCTTCAAATCATTATAACAAATAATATCATTTCTTTAAAAGGATACAGTAATAGCTTTTGTTGAGATTTTTAAATGACTGTCATATTGATATCATTTTTCTGTCCGTATCACCCGTATGGAAATCGGAAGATTCCAGTGAAAAGTATTCCATATCCTTTTTGATCGGAGTCCATTTGATCTGGTATGCAATTTTATTAGTTTTGAATTATGCTAACAAGTAACAATTAATGTGCAATATATATATAGGACGGCTTATATTAAATTAAGCTAAGTGAGTCAAGCCTAAGCCTAATTACGTAAATGAGCTTTTGTAAGGATGTTTTTATTTGGAATGTTTTTAGTCCTAGACCAGACTACTTTAGATCATATATCAAAGTCATCAAATCAGATCAAACTTGAATACTAAATAGTTATAAACTATACTAACATCAGACATTTATCAGACCAGTTTAGCCCAGAATCAGACTAGAATAACAGATTTTTGTCTAAGTAAAAACATATAACCCCAAATATGCTTTTACATAGTAAACCAGTAAGGTGGCCAGACCATGCCCCTATTAGGGATGGACTCAGGTCCGGGCCGGGTCTGGGTCGGGCATAGGCCCGGGCGGGCCGGCGGTTCAAGAATAGTGGACCCGGGACCGGCCCGGGTAGCCACCGGGTCCGGTCCGGGTCCGGGCCCGGGTAGCCACCGGGTCCGGTCCGGGTCCGGGCCCGGCCGGGCCGGGCCTCCGGTTAATTTTTTTTTTTTCCTAATCCCCCCCCCCCCCCCCCTTCCTCACCCCCCCCCCCCCCCTTCCTCACCCCCCACCCTCCCAACCCCCCCAAACCCATCCTACCCATCAAGCCCAACCTGGGTGGAACCCCAAAAATGAAAAAAAAATAAAAAAAAATCAATTTAGCCCGGGCCCGGGCCCGACCCGGCCGGGCCGGTTCACCAAAATTGAGACCCGAGCCCGGACCCGCCCTACCCCCAGGCCTAGGCCCGCCCCGGACCGAGAACCGGGCCGGACCGGTCCACGGGCCGGGTGGCCCGACCCGAGTCCAACCATAGCCCCTATCTCTTGACACTGTCTATTCCTGTAGTACCTGCCCCCGTGGCGGATTAACCGGATTTATAATGGGGGCAGCTGCCCCTCTCAACCCCACCCAAACCGTATGTGTATATATTTAATACTCCGTATATTTATATTTATATGCTAAATATAGTATTATATACTTTAATTTCGCTAAAGATGTCAAAAAGTTCATTGGCCTAGGGGAAGGGCTTCTTCTTTGGAGATATAGTCATATAGTTTTGCATTCGCAATTTACATTAATACTAAATATATACTCCGAACAATATTCATCCCTCATTCGATTCATCTAATTTATTTCTGAAAATTGTTAAGTATGTTTCATGTTTTTTGTCCAACAAATATTTTATTCTTTATAACTAACTTCACAAAAAAAATCTTATTGTATTCAACTGCTTGACATGACATGATTGAGAGAATATGTAATGTAAATTCGTCCCAACTCACAACAATTCTTGGATACGTGATAGCCTGCCCCTGTCCCCCCTATTCACGACCGCCATTTCTTAATGGTGAAAACTAAGTAATACGGAGAATAATAAAAACGGTGTAATTTACTTTTGATATAAATAAATGACAAAAATGGAGAAAATTGATAATTTACTGTTTTCTTTTAATTTAATCAAAACTAATATTTAGATCCATTTATAATAATGCTATTAATGATTTTTTTCTTTTGGATTGTTTTCAGTCCCAGATCTGATCGGGTTAGATCAGATCAGACCAGAGCAAATTTTAGTTCAAAAGAAATCATCCTAATAGTTATATTGAATGGCTTTTCATAATATCATCAAATTCAATTCATTTGAATATTTGGTAATTTTATCGTTAAGAAACGACTGAGTTTTAGTTTCTATAAAATTAAAAAAATAAAAAATCAAATAAAATAAAATTAGTTTTAAGTAAGCTATCAAATAAAAGTAAATTGCGAAAATATTTTCATTAAACCTTTCTTCCTATTTCCTCCAACCAAACACAATTTTTTATCAAAATCATTCCTTCCCCTTCCCTTCCCTCCCCCCTCCTTGACTCTCCCCTTCCCTCCCTTCATTTGAACCAAACAAGGCCTTAATGAGTTATACTGCTTGTTAGCATTATGGTTATTAGAAGATGAATCAAATAACAGTTGAGCTTATGATTTATTTATTAGGTTTAAATTGATTTTAGCACATTCATTAGTTCAATAAAATAACCTACCAAGGTGCCTGTGCATTATACATTTATACATAGAACAACTGACAACATTTTTTTTCCATTACATCTACTAGAATGAAACAGAGCCTAAAAGATTATGTAAACTGTAAAGTACCTTTTTTACGAGATCAGTCAGGCTAAGCCGCTAAGCTGTGTCCTATGGATATACAATACAAATGAACTTTATGATTGACAAAATAATTTTTTATCATAGACAATGGTGGAGGTGGAAGAGGAGGAGTTAATGAGAATTGGAGATCCAACATTGGATAGCAAGCCGGAGTGAGGGGTTAGGAGTAAGGTCCAAGTGACTAAGTGTCAAATTGGTCATCGGGGAAGTATCTCTCCCACTCTCCAGCCACCCCCTTATGGCCTCTCCTTCATAGGTGAACCCGTCCGCTGCCACTCGAGGATCATACATTAGCTCCTGAGGCAACAAAAATTCCATAATTATGTTGTGAACACAATTTTTGTATTGCAAACACACACAAAACATGTAACACAGTTCTTAAATTGAGTCCCATTCATGCCAAAAGAATCTAAAACAGGTGATATTTACTCTGCATTTATGATTTATATACCAAACCCAAACACAGTAAACGACCAATGTGGGGATACTCAACATATTCGTCAGCCCAAGTTCATTTGTATTGGACTTGACTCACTAGAATGATTACTCCGTATTAGATTGGGTAGTCTAACTTGTCAAATTAGGCCTAACTCACCCAAAAGTATTCTCAAGATACTTGTCAAGATATATATTGACAGAAATCTGGTAAATTTCTGATGTGAGAAACTCAACATGTATCCTCGACCCAAACTAGGTTGGAAGAATTGAAGGGTGAATAAATGTGTCAAACTGACCCTAAATGGCTACCCTAACTTGTATGGTGCTAAATAAACAAACAACAAATAGACTAGGCTGTAACACTATACTAAATTGGCCCTAACTTACTCCAAGTCTCCAATCCTCATACTTATATACTCCCTCCGCCCCCCTATTATTGTCCCATTTCCTATTGACTTGGTCAACACAAATAACTTTTAATCTCTTACTTTATTTATCAAATTTGATTCTGGTTTTTGCGACTTTGTAAACATTTTAATGTAGTTTCTGAATATACAATTTTTTTTCCTAAAAATAATTCTAGTGCGGACAGGGATCTGTTTGCTTTATCATCAGTCAAGCATCGTAAACCGATATGGGACAATAACAGGGGGATGGAGGTAGTATGAGGCACGCTAATTTTGGATTTGGGACACTGTCAAACCGACCCTAAATGGCTACCCTAATTTGTAGAGTGCTAAATAAACAAACAAACAAAGAAACAACAAATGGACTAGGCTCTAACTCTGTACTAAATTGGCCCTAACTGACTCCAAGTCTCCAACCTTCATACTTATATACTCCTTATGAGACAAACAAATTTCAGATGTGGGACACTTAATGTAACTTTATCCCAAAAGAATTATCAAATACTGCACACTTATATGCTGGAATCAAACGCAACCGATATGATACAATCAAAACCTATTAGTTTGGTAATTTTACTGACCCGGGTTAAATGCATGAAACAAACAAATGTTACCTGAAAAATAGGACAAAGGAAAAAGGATGGCACTACACGCTCCTCCAAGGTGTGCAACTGATCTAACTCCTGTACTAGACTTGGCGTCAACTCGGGTCTATCCCTACTGTTTAGCTCACAACAACTCAACCCTAAGCCGGCCAACCTCCTTGCCACAAAAGCTGACCAATCACCAGCAGAAGAATCCAAAATGGGTTCCAGATTCCTGCATGAGATGGCCTTACGTACTTCACGGGATAATCCCTCCGGACTTCTTCCCGTGAGCATCTGAAGTATGATCAGTCCAAACGAATAGATGTCTGACTTTGTTGTCAGGGATCCACTGATGTGAAATTCTGGATCAGTGTATGAAAAAGCGCCCTTTGACACACTTTGACGCCGGAAACTTGGACAATGAAGTGTTTGGTTCGGAAAAAGCTTAGAAATCCCAAAATCACATATCTTGCAGCTGTTGTAAGAGTCTAGGAGGATATTTTCAGGCTTTAGATTGCCATGCACAATCTTTTCAGGGTTGGAAGTGTGTAAAAACAAAAGCCCTTTAGCAATTTGAGCAACAATGTGCAATCGGTTTTTCCATGTAATGCTGCTCTTGTGGAGAAGGTGGTCCCGGAGGTTTCTTCCTGGCATATACTCATAAACAAGGTACCAATCTTCAGTACATAACCCAAGTAAAGTTACCAGATGAGGATGGTTAAGTTTTCCTAGAATTTGAACCTGCATTTTTAGGAAGGAAAAATTATAACTTGGAAGAAATGTAACAAAAAGATGATATTTAAAAATAATATATGGTAATTCAGTCCAAAATAAATCAATCCCATATTATATGTTGTCTGCGAAATACCAAACTAATTAGGGACATATTTGTAATATAAAGAAAACTTGAGGGTCATTTGATAAAAAAGAGAGTCCTATTTATACTACTGAGTTGAGTGTTACAAGCAAGATTCTTTCATTGGGACAAAGGAAGTAGTTAAGTTAGAACTTAGAACACAACAGCATATAGATGATCGGGCACACACATAACATATATATAGGATTCTGTTCAAATAAAAAATGCCTAATGTGCAAATGTTCGAATTGCAGTTCTATTTCAGTATGCTGCACTTTATGTTCAAATATTGCACTTTTCACCTTCATTTATATACAAAATTGCAACCGCGTTTTAATTAGTAAGTGATCTTTTGCCACGGTGTAGAGGGCAGTGATTCACCATACAAATGCAACGCAACGAAGTAGAAGTGTAAT